GGTTCCATCAACGGTGTTTGTGACGGATTCTGCGCATCGGTTGGGGCGACAGAGTTGCTGACACTGAAGTGTTGCGACAAAGTGTCATGTCTGCAGTGGGCTGTATACTTTTGCTGAGACACATGAGGTGGTTCAGTCACGTGAGCCGTATGGATTCGACGCGGGTACCGAAACAACTCTTATATGGTCAGCTGAGTATTGGAAAGTGGCATGGGGGGAAACCATAATTACGTTACCAGGATTTGATTAAAGTGAGCCTCACACGTTTTCTTGATTGCAGGTCATGGGAATCGAAGGCGGTTGATCGGTGTGCATGGCGCGATCTAATCACGAAGGCAGTTGCCGAAGTGCGGGAGAAAGAACGCATGCATGCAGAGAATAAGCGGCAAGTGCGGAAGCGGCAAGCACCGATGGGTTGTTCTCCATCGACCTCAAGCGCATGGTGCTGTAGAACATGCGGTCGCGAGTGCCTGAGTCAGGCAGGCCTAGTGAGCCATGAGTGAGGCCACTCGGTACCACTACCGAAGCGACGACGGGTCTTGCAGAGAATGTAGGCAGAACCGGCACAGCGTCTGTAGCTACGCTGCATTAGATGTACTAACCGCGTGCTTCATACTAAGTCTTTTTTCACGTGGTGGGTTTGCAATAATTGTCCTAATATTTTTCTTTCTCATATAAATGTCTACTAGTACTCTCTTCTATTAACTTGCATAGGTCGCTTAAGCCAATGGTAGTTAATTCCGATAACATTTGCTTGTTTGTGGCATTTCGGTAAAATATACTTTCTGACCTCCTGAACTTACCTCGGATTCTTTTGTAAACAACTTATTTCAAATGCTCATTAATCTAAACTTTATGTCGCCGTTTCCTTATGCATTACTCGATTTAGTTTATTTGTTATCTTTCTCAAGTGATTGGCTATTGCTCGATATCCCCGGTGTGGCTGCGATTGATGTGCATGTTGACAAGGTGCCTACCTGTCTATTACCCACTACCTCGTCCATACTGGCGCCAGGAGACAGTTGGTCGTTGATGGAAGGGACGGGGTGCACGGTCCTTGTGGCCGTGCTAGGCTCAAAGAGCGGTTCCATGCAGTCAGTGTAGAGCGGATTACGATCCAGCCACCGCCTTGTGTGCGATTGACTCCCAAGTACAACGTGCTTGTGTTTGCCTGTGAAGGAGTGTGGGCCGGCTCCGTTGATGAAACGTGGCTCCCATCCACATGCCTCCCGGTCTTATTCCTTCGGGTTTACACTGGATATGGAGTGTGTGGTTGGAGCTGTGGGTGGTGCAGCGGAAGCCACCCATGGTCCCTCTGTAGATGCGGGCGTCTTGTGGCTGGCCAAAGTGATAGGCGAATCCGAAACCGGATTTCACCAACCTTCCGCTTTGCGAAAGGTTGACCACCACGCGTTCGCTTCCAGCCTGATCTTGGACTAGCTAACACAGCTCGGGGTGGCAAACGTTCGGGCTCCATGCGTTGAACGTGACAGAACCATCTGAACTTGCACAACAAAACCAGCTTGTTGAAGGGAATGCTCGCATTCCCTAAGAAGAGACGTCTAACGTCATTACTGTGAACTCTATTTTGCCACCACACACGAGCAATCCTCCTCAAACAACCGTTCCTCAGAATGGAAAATGCTGATCGGCTTTGGCCATGTGAAGTGAAATGCCCTTGCTGATAGTGCTGCCAGCAGAAACACAGCTTCCAAATTAGACGAACTAATCTACCGGTTTAAGTTGTGTACCTTCAGTGTTGAGTGCGGAAGGAGGTGTGGGCCAAACCTGGATGATCACTTTACTTCTCGAGGGACAAGAGCCTATGTCATACTTAGATGCTTTAACATCCAAACAACTCATAATGAGTTGCATATTTTGTGGATCGTCTCCAAGTAAGCCGATATAATCAGTATAATCTACGTCAGTCGCGCGCTCACTCGGTAGCTCTTTGAAAACTTTTATAAGCCTGTTCGTGCTCTGCAAAGCACGACTTCCATTGTAAAGTTGAAGAGGAATTGGGATATAAGGTAGCCCTGTCGCGCACCGCTGTTGACGGCTGAAGACGAGGAAAGTTGTCGTAAAGCCACACTCTGCAGGAGATATGAGGATAAAGTGCGCGTATTATGGCGGTATACCTCACTGGCACTCCGTTCTTCATGCAGCAATGCCATAAAGCAGGTTGATCGACAGAGTCAAATGCAGCCCGTATGTCTAGAAATCCGACGATTGTGGGCATGTGGTAAAAGTGGCGTTGTTTGAGGGTTTGGCGGAGCATGAAGAGTCGAGCCACGCATCCATGCTCGGGACAGAACCAGCTTGTTCTACACGGTAGTATGGTTCACGTATTGGGATAGTTTACGGAGTAGGATGGATGCTAATTGCTTAGAGTCATCCGAAATAAGGTAAATCCCTCAATGATTAACTCATGAGGTGCGTGCTACTTTCCTACAAATAGGAACAATAACTGATTCGCCCCAAGAGAAAAACACCCTACTTCGGCTTGGGCAACCGCGTAGTATTTCGCCCTCTGACGAAACCGTGGACTTTGATGTGTTGTGTTGTGTTTTCTTTTACTATTTCTGTACCTTGTTTTGAGTTCCATGATTTCCGATGGTGCAATGTCTATTCATAGACTGTTGCAAAAAAAGAGAGAAAAACACCTTTGCTTCATACCAGGTTTTTGCGAAGAACGAGGTCAGCTAGTTAATGAGAGCTACGCCGCCGTACCTGAACAACTCCGGAGGAAGTACGTCTGATCCGTCAGTCTTAATTCGCTTCAAGCGTCGAATCTTGAGGTAGAATTCCGTTTCGCTAGGTGGATTCAATGCGAAGTGCCCGGTTAGGCAGCAGGGTGTACTGCCTGTACTGACGGACGGTGGAGGCCAGTAGAATTGCGAATAAAATTGCTCGACCCAGCGGTCCAAAGGTCTCTGCTGGTTGGTAACCGGAGACCCATCCGCCTCGCAAAAGCTCTCACTGGCACCAGGTTTCCTGATGCCAGTGGATCGAATGAGTTAGGAAACCTTGCGAGTGTTGCCAGAGATGGCGGCGATACCTGTTTCTAGAGCACGCTCAGACCACCAAGCCTGCCGATCTTGACAGGCTTTGCTTGAACAGTCGGTTGGCAGAGCGGCACAGTTCGTTACATTCTGATTCTGCCTGAATATCTCTGCGGTGGTCAAATAGCTCCAGAAAGCCAGCGGAGGTCCAAGCCTTTAAGAGGCTTCTGGCTTGGCCACAGCATGAGTGTCCGGAAGTGGTCATCATCTTATGTATACAAGTCCAGTGTTTGCTCAACGTCTTGTGGTGTATTGCAACTGATTGAGCATGCTAGTGAAGACTGATAGCTCGCCTAGACCGATGAATCATTAAATCCATTCACATCCATCCTGTGGTGCTTCGTTTTTGGAGGCTACCAAAGCACTTGTAGGTTTCTGTGCAGACTCGTACATGATCCGAGCCAATGAAAATGGACCAAAATGACCTTCAGTCCCATATGCTGCTATGCCATATGAAACCGTCTGTAATGTGTTTAATTCCAGAACATGCTTATGGTGGCAAAAGGAGACGCCAAGTCGAGGAAAGTTTCTTCGTATGCCTGAAGTGGGTGCTCAAGAGTTAATGATGACTGTTTTCGCGTAGTGTGAGAATTCTCTCTCCGTTTTGTGAGCGTTCTTCATCCAACGCGTGGTGACCACCAAGCGGACGTTCGTATGGTAACAGGCGGCCAAACTGTGCATTGAAATCCACGGCAAGGAGAAAATCTATCATGAGGAAACAATACCAAACACGAAATGACCTAAGTTGACTTTACACGCCCCGTGCATCATCAAACCTGTGTGGCATTTTGAGGGCATCGGTGGTCACTCAGACTTGATGCTCTGAGGTAGTTAAGTTACAATGCTCATGCACCATGATTTATGACGGGATAAACGTTTGCGCTTGACACGTCACGTAGGATGGTTGGAGTGAATACGATGAAATCAAAAGATATGTAGGCTATCTACCGAGCGTCTACAGAGGTGAATGTGTGTAAAATTAAAAAACAGAACTACTAATAGAAACTTAACCCTTGACCTGGGAATTGTACGAACTTGCGACAAGTTACTTAGGTCTGACGCACTGACGCAGCGATGATTTCTGTGTCCTGACCAACAAAGGGATGCCTGTCATTGATTGCTTACTTTTAGTCATAAATGTTAATGATGAGACTCTGAGGTGTATCGCTTCAATACTACAACAGTGTTCTGCGTTTCGATAAGTCATGTATCAACTTTAAATATATAAATAAATTTGAGTCTCGACAGTGAGGGAGACACGTCTATCCTGACAGGCTCAAGGAGGTAGGTCCATGTATTTAACGGATTAATGGATGATCAAAAAATTCGAGAATTTTCGACTAATGTCACTAGGGGAGGCAAGAATTGTATATGGAAGAAATGCAATGAAATGATTGATACCGATAGGATGAATACACATGGTATGATATTGTAGGGTTTTTTAAAAGAATGCGGTTGTACCGAGTACAGGCAAATCAATGAAAACCAAAACCGGACTGAAAGGGGAGCCGTGATAGACCGAACTTTGTTCTGTAGTAATCATGCGGTTGTGAAGTGAATTGGCTGAAGAATTACTGACTATCTTCAGGATGGGCTTTTCCGCTAATCTAGGGAAAAATCCGGATGTACAGATAGCTGGGGCTCGGTCCATGAACTGTTTGGTTGCCGAAAATACACATAGGTTCACAAAGGACGAGGGTGCCTTTGTGGATTTCCGTGGCTCAGCGCTTGAATTTCCCATCAAGGAACAACAACACGGGGATAACCTGTACCTACAGCACGTTCCAATGGTGCATGTTTCAGCAAGTTAATCTCGTTAACCTAACTATCATTAACACCACAATTTGTTCTCATAAAAGTTCAAGTTTGTGAACAGCATTTCGTACGAAGAAATGCTGCCAAAGGTTGCTAGCACAACCTTAGCACGGTTTGAAAACATTAGAAATGTATCGCGTTGTATCCATCATCATCATCATCATCATCATCATCATCATCATCATCATCATCATCATCATCATCATCATCATCATCATCATCATCATCATCATCATCATCATCATCATCATCATCATCATCATCATCATCATCATCATCATCATCATCATCATCATCATCATCATCATCATCATCATCATCATCATCATCATCATCATCATCATCATCATCATCATCATCATCATCATCATCATCATCATCATCATCATCATCATCATCATCATCATCATCATCATCATCATCATCATCATCATCATCATCATCATCATCATCATCATCATCATCATCATCATCATCATCATCATCATCATCATCATCATCATCATCATCATCATCATCATCATCATCATCATCATCATCATCATCATCATCATCATCATCATCATCATCATCATCATCATCATCATCATCATCATCATCATCATCATCATCATCATCATCATCATCATCATCATCATCATCATCATCATCATCATCATCATCATCATCATCATCATCATCATCATCATCATCATCATCATCATCATCATCATCATCATCATCATCATCATCATCATCATCATCATCATCATCATCATCATCATCATCATCATCATCATCATCATCATCATCATCATCATCATCATCCTCATCATCATCATCATCATCATCATCCTCATCATCATCATCATCATCATCATCATCATCATCATCATCATCATCATCATCATCATCATCATCATCATCATCATCATCATCATCATCATCATCATCATCATCATCATCATCATCATCATCATCATCATCATCATCATCATCATCATCATCATCATCATCATCATCATCATCATCATCATCATCATCATCATCATCATCATCATCATCATCATCATCATCATCATCATCATCATCATCATCATCATCATCATCATCATCATCATCATCATCATCATCATCATCATCATCATCATCATCATCATCATCATCATCATCATCATCATCATCATCATCATCATCATCATCATCATCATCATCATCATCATCATCATCATCATCATCATCATCATCATCATCATCATCATCATCATCATCATCATCATCATCATCATCATCATCATCATCATCATCATCATCATCATCATCATCATCATCATCATCATCATCATCATCATCATCATCATCATCATCATCATCATCATCATCATCATCATCATCATTATCATCATCATCATCATCATCATCATCATCATCATCATCATCATCATCATCATCATCATCATCATCATCATCATCATCATCATCATCATCATCATCATCCTCATCATCATCATCATCATCATCATCATCATCATCATCATCATCATCATCATCATCATCATCATCATCATCATCATCATCGTCATCATCATCATCATTACGCGTTAGCTGAAGGTGGAAAACACCTCAGCTATTGTGCCGCAATACAAAAGACAAGAGAAAAAAACAAACAGTGGCACGCCCGCTGAGTTTGCAGTAACGGATGGACATCGTTCCCAAGAGCTAACAGCTGGCTGCCGTAAAAAAGAGTCATATTACGCTTAACAAGTGAGATCGCGATTGGATGGGGATGCTAAACAGGAGGGGGATGAGCAAAGGAACTCACAACACAAACGCCATTGGGGCCGGCTCCTAGCCATATCAGCAACTGTGTCCAACCCAAAGTGTTCACCGTCCTTAGGACCCCAGCCAGGCAGTCGGGATGCACCAACCGACGCCAACTTCGAAGTGAGGGTTTTCATATCTCTCAACCAAGTCATCACTTGGCCTCCCCTCCTCCTCTTCTAACCGCACCCACAACGCGCAAACAATGCACGTCGCGGAAGTCCGTGTGCTTGCATGCGCAACACGTGGCCCAACCATCGGAGCGTGGTGCGTGATATAATGATGCAGAGCGGTTCATTCGCTCTTCCTACACCAAATACGTGACGCCGAACACGCTCATTGCTCACGCAGTGCACTCACCAGACATGAGCTAAGGTGCGAAGGCAGTGGTGATCGAATGCGGCGAGCCTCTTTATGTCTGTTGACCTGATGGGCCAGGTTGCACAGTTATATAAGAGAGTAGAACGGACGGCTGCGTTGTAAACTCTGCCCTTCAGGGCGAGAGTAATGTCGCGTCTGCGCCACAGGTGGCGGAGATTGGCAAAAGCACCTCGAGTTTTGCTGTACGGTTCGTAACCTCATCTTCAATCCCAGGGATGCTAATATAGCTGCCCAGGTACTTGAATTCCTGAACGACTTCTAGCTGACCACCAAAAGCGTTAGCGCAGGGTTGGGTCCCTGCCAATCTTGGAGAAGTACTTTGCATTTCGATGGAGCGAAGAATAGTCCAAAACGATAGACAGCCAGTGCTAATCGGTCCAATGCTGTTTGGCATGTTTGGGAGCTGTCACAGATTAGGGCAATGTCGTCCGCATACTTCAATTCAAGAAGTCGCTCACTAGGAAGTAGCTCCACACCTTCTAGGTCGTGTCCAGCTCGCATTGTATCCAACGGTGGACGTCAGTGGGAACTGTGGAAGAGTTCAGCTAGGACAAACGGTTCTAGCCGTATTGTTGTGGGGACCGAACTTCTTTGAAAGACCGCAAGCTGAAACCATGTAAGTCAGTGAGACACGCATTCTGGCAAGTGCACATATTCAATCAACCTCCACACACATGAAATATTCACTTTTTCTGATAGACCTCCACACTCGTGAGGTACTCATTTTTCTACCAGCTTTTTAACCTAAGAAACATTCATTTTTCTGGCCAACCTCCGCTATTACCAACATTCACTTTCCGATATGTGTCGGTTACTAACCGTTGGCAAATCCACACAGTGCTAATTCACATACGTATGTCATGCTTCCATAGTTAGCTTACGCAAACAATTCTACGTGGAAAAGCACATAATTCACCAATCGACGTATATTTGAAAGGCTGGACAATGCTGTAATTGCCTTCCGCCCGGCCAGTGAAAGTGTCTGTTGCGGAGCCCCTGTGATTTGTTCAGATTGCTTGCGGGGTCGGGTAGTCACCCGTGAAGTCCGCGTTCGGTACACGAAGCCATACAACTTTCGCGTAGAAACCGGGCTGCGCTTTAGTCTCACGGGTCTTGCGAATTCGAATTTTATTGGCTAGCCGTAACGACTTTTTGCTGTTGCTCGACCACCACCAGTCGATACCCATCCGTTGTAACACGTGGCGTAACAAAGATGCAGTCATAACATTTATCAACTATAATGGCATGACAACTGGGGCTTTATCGCAGCTAAAGTTAAAGTGATCGCTGACGTTTTCAGGCTCCATGAGTTAGAACACGAATCACTGGGACTCTAAGAAAATTCGCGGATACATTTTTCGAGGTCAGCAGGAGCAACATCACACGGAGAGGCGATGAAAATCGAGACATGCCTTTTACTTTGTTACTTTTCACAAAGCACACCTTATGCTTCTAACTTCAAGGTAAGTTTCTAAAGTGAGCGCTGACATCAATGGAGAAGTTCAACGGACGGTGGCAGACCTCATGGCAGTACACTGCAACTCATCGATGCCACTCAGTTGATGAAGGAAACGAGGTCTCGGATCAGGTCGAAGATAGGAAATCAGATGTTTCCGCGATTTAAACAGTGGTCATCACTGTGCGGAGAGCAAACCGTTATAATCGGCCTGTGCACATACGTCCAAAAGTTGGTAAAGTTGGTGGGTGAGCCAACGAAAGTAGCGTTTAAAATACTCTTACCACATAGACGTAATATATCTCACGTATACGGCCATGAATTTTGTGACTTCTTGTGGACGATACAGTGTACTCTTCTTCTATCCTGCGTCCTCGCGGTATACTCAGCCCGCGCGCGACTGGTGGTGGTCGCGCGGCAGCGAAGCGCCGTTACGGCATCCAGCTGACACATTATTATTATTATTATTATTATTATTATTATTATTATTATTATTATTTCAAAGTGCCGTAGGGTTCTTTGGACATCTGCAAATGCTCGTTGACAGATCCGGCCAAACAGGTGCTCCGCCGGTAGTCACAGATGAGTTTCCATTGACCGACACCGTTCAATGTAGAGGACGTAACAAAAACTTAGCAGCAACATAGGATAGCATGTAACAACTCTTAACCAAACCATATACACACTCACATATGCCTTTCACTCTTGCAGTGGGCTGGGTTGCCGAACTACCTCCCTTTGGTGCCTGCTGGGTGATTAAGGTTTACTGCGTCCCAGCAAGTTGTTCGGCGGCTGTGTTTCCGGACGTGGCGGGTTATCGCATGGCAAGCATTATCCCTGTAACAAGCCACATGTGTCCGTTTAACCACATCGTGAAGTGGCGGATGTGACTAGTCATTAAATTAACTTACTGCCCCACCAAGTATGTGCTGACTTCATGGGGAGGACTGCGCCCCTGTTGGGTAACCGACCAAACGAAAGGCGCATTAACTGCGTAATCGGTCAGCGGCTCAAGTTTGGGGGCCATTCCCGGAATTCGTCCCGCTACTTTGCGGATAGGCTCGGGGTGATGTCCATTAGACAAATCCCTACTTCGGCTTGGGCAAACAGGTTGTACCACGCCCACTGACAAAACCACGGACCGCTCTTCTGCTATACCGCGCTTAACTACATTTGCCTCCAATGCTTGCAAACATTCACATGCCACCTATCCATTCACTACCCATCACTTTGGTCCTTTGCCAGCTGATTCGTTTCCATGATTCTGCTCGCGATGGTGCCGTTGACGACCACAGAGCTCGTGCAGTGACCCTTCTTCTTTCCGTCTGACATGTTTTAATGTACGTACACACATGCAGCTCGGGCAACAAGCTAAGTTACGAAGCCGATGCCAATGAATCAACTCAACACTAGTTGCTTTTGACTGAAACCGACTCCATAATGAATGAGTTAAGTGTTGTCAAAGATCTAAAGTTCCTGACAAGGACTGCAGTTTCTGTGATCGTTTAAGCAACCTTTGCTAAAATTCTGAATTGTACTAAGTATCCACTGTGAAAATGTAACTCAACAAGACCTAACATTGAATCGAGGCAACGGCATTTACGATAGCACAATGGTGATGTCGTTCCAATTTCACCAGATTAAATCTGGCACAGTGGCAGAGATTTGTGTAGCTTCTCAGCCCAAACATACAGACATAGCACATAGACCAACCCGTCAGTGTTGCGGCCGCAGCAACTTCCCAAGAAAGAAAGGGTTTCCAGCAGGGATATCAGTATCCTTTCGATTGCCTCCAAGCTATTGGCACTCATTCTACTCCGTAGACTATCCACCATTCATGAATCGCAGTACCGCGAAGAACAAGCTGCCTTCCGTATTGGTCGTGGATGCGTGGATAAATATTCGCGCTTCGCCAAATCCTCGGACACCGCCACCTTTACCAGAGGCCTAGTGGTTGCATTCCTGGACATCCGTGACGCATTCGACTCGGTTGATCGACCTGCACTATGGTGTTGTTCGCTAAAGAACGGTGTCCCAGAAAAGTATACTGCCATCCTACGCGCACTTTCTTTCCACCTTTCTGGCAGAGTGCGGGTGTTTGATAGGCTTTCGTCGTCCTTTGCTGTCAATGGCGGTGTACGACAAGGCTGCCCTATGTTCCCGTTCATCCAATTTTGCGATTGAAGTCGTCTTGCCGAATGCTCTAGATGGTTACCAAAAGTTTAGTATACAGATATTACCGGACGAGCGAGCAACCGACTTAGGTTATGCCGATGATATCGCCTCATTTGGTGAGGACTCACACAGCATGCGAACCATTCTAGACAGTTTCGCGATCGAAGCATTTAGGCACGGAATGTGCTTTCCCCCATCAAAGTGTAAAGTACTGCTTCAGGATTGACACTCACTTGTTCCCGGGCTCAATATTGAAGGCACACAGCTTGAACAAGTGGATAGCTTTGTCAACCTTGGCAGCAGTATGTCTGCTGGTGGTACCATTGGAAGGGAAGTTTCTCCTGGCTTCGCCAAAGCTCGGTCGGCATTTGTCGACCAGCAGCATTTGTGGCGTCGTCGGGATGTCTTTCACTTGGTAAAGTGTCGCGTTTACAATGCTACTGTTCGGGCGTTGTTGCTATATGGAAGCGTCGTGGCCAGTTCGCGTGTAAGGCATGCGAAGGCTCTCGGACTTCAATGATGGGTTCTTGAGGAGGACCGCTTGTATGTGGTGGCAACAGCGTATCTGCAGTAGTGAAATCAGACATCGTGTCATAGGAAATGCGAGTATTCACTTTAACAAGCGAGTTACACTGGGTCAGTTAAAGTGGTTCGGTCACGCCCTGCATATATCAGCTGAGGACTAGCCCTATAACGGCGCTTTCGTTCGTGCCGTTGAATCCACACATCTGCCTTGTTGGGGACCAAAGGACGAAGGGCACCGATGGTAAAAAACAATTCGGCATATGGCTCGTAATCGAAACCAGTGGACGACCGGTGTTCACACCTGTTTATATTCAGATGCTTACTACTTAACCATTGAAGGAAACCAAAATAAAACAACGTGGTGTGAGAAAATAACAAAAATAACAAACAGTTCCGTTTTTCTTGCGGCACAAAAGCTGCAGCTTGTTGCTCACCTTCAACTAATGTGTCATGATGATGATGCGTTGATTAGACCTGTATTCTTCCACTGATTGCTATGGTTTTTTTTAGCTTGATGACTATTGGTTAGATTGCTGCTAATACTACGACTACCCAACCGATCTCTGCTACAACATACTGTATTTGCCACCATGTCTGCAGCTGCGGAAGTGGTTACTTTAGCAGAACATATCGGTGTCTACGTAAACGGATTGGATATCATATTTCGAAACGGGTACTCCAACTGTGACAGACCAATGTGACAGGTGTCAAACTGTCAAATATCAGTCTCATTTGCTAAACACCGGCATAAGTAATTAGATTGACTCTGCCCTATTTTTAACGCACCACCATAAAAACGCTAAATTCTCAAATTCGCTGAGGTTATAGTCGCAAAACCCAGTCGTCGGAAAGTTTGTGACACAAAAGGGTTAACTGCCGCACTCAAATTCCTTGGGGATCATCATACTAGCTCTACACTTTTTAAACTGTTGCAGTTGGTAGGTGAATGTGCCTTCCTTTCTTCTATGACTGCATTCAAATCAGTGATTTCGTTTCCGTTGCTCGTTAGAGAAGTTACCAGTTTGTGATTGATCTGACATCACGAAATGGTATCATCTTGCAAAGCATGTCTTCTTCTCGACTTATCTGGAATGCTTTCTAGTGTCCAGTTAAGAAGTCCCGTTTGCTGAACTGGATTGCAGAACTGAACTTTTAGCCAGCTGTGTTTCCCATTGCCTGTAGCTAGATGTGGGTGAACGGGACTAAAAACAGCCGTTGATTATTAAATTGTAAAACTACGAGATAGACTCAATACAACCGAACCCATGGGTACCAGTTCTGCAGCGCCAAGCCTTGGCAGATTGGCAGCATTAATAGGTTGATGGCTTAATCGGTCCTAACACTGCGATAACATCTTGACATTTTGGTTTTGAAGGCATTGTCACCCGAACTTCAGTTGCTTCCTTCAATTAATCACCATGAATAATGTCAAAGAAAGCGATACGTGGAAGTAGGCAGCAGTTAACGAATAAAGCAAATCTACACATCTGTTTCCGGTATTGTTTGAAGTGATTATGCATCCGTAAGTGGGTCGACAAGGAGTAGTCAATTCTTTATCACCATCAACATCTTCATCGTCAACCAGTAGCCGAAGGTACGCAACACTACAACGTTTTTGCCGCAATAATATTAATAGTAATACTACTACTACTAATAAAAAGAATGATAATAATGTGTCCGCCATCCGCCGTAGCGGCGCTTCGCTGCCGCGCGACTACCACCAGTCGCGCGCGGGCTGAGTGTACCGCAAGGACGCCCACCCCCAAGCGGATTGGAACCGGTGACCTTATCATTGCAAACCAAAAGTGCAGACCACTCGGCCACCGGCCGCCTGGACCTCACGGTGGTGCGATGGTTTGTGTGCCTCAGTGATCCATTGAGTTATGTTGGGTGGTGCTTTTGCACCTTCAGGATCACTCATATCAGATTGGTCAATGGTTAGAGGTCAGAAAAACTCAGCCTCCTGGCCCTCCAGGTTAGGGGTTGGAATGAGGGTGGCGCCTTATTCCTTAAAACGGGCTCTTTGTAGCACAGCGCAAAACCCGCTGCCTTGCGATCAGGTTTTTGAACCAAAGGCTTTTGTTGAGAACCCTAATCGTTCTCCTGTCTAGGCCTGGGCAACCTGACAGTATCCTGCCCATAGTAATACAATGAATTTCTCTTCAAACAGTTTCTCGATGCTCTGGCCACCGCAGAGGGTAATCAACGGTGCCCTATCTTCTGC